GAATGAGACACACCTGGGGAGCAATCAACGGGGAGGACAGGACAGAGACTCACAGGGAAACAGGATCACATAGAAAAACTCAAAATAAACAGAAAACCACGGATCATGACACAAGGTCCCAGAATTTTAGTAGATTTGATTTGATAAATAACCGGTTTATGTTCCCAATATCCCACTTTATGAAGTATTTGGATTGATTTTTTTTGTAAGACGCATAATGGCTGTAAATTTGTTTGTATGTATTTCCCCAAATTTCCACACAATATGTTAAATGTGGTACAGTGAGTGTGTTATATAGAATAAACAGAGATTTATAGTACAGGACAAAAGTAATTCCTCTTAGAACAGCAACACTTTTGGCTATTTTAGATTTTACTAGGCTGATCTGTGGTTTCCAGCTAAATTTATCGTCTAATATGACACCTAAGAATTTTATTTCGTGTACTTGTTCTAAATAAACACTGTCAATTGATATCTTAATTGAATTATTTTCCTGTTTTTTATTATTTCCAAATATCATAAATTTTGTTTTATCTAAATTTACTGATAATTTATTATTTTTGAACCAATATGTTTATTTTTCTATTTCTGTGTTGACCACTTCTGAGAGTTGTTGAATGTTTTCTCCAGAACAATAAATACTTGTGTCATCTGCAAATATAATGTATTTTATAAGGTTTGATACCTTAACTAAGTCATTTATATACAAATTGAACAATTTAGGACCCAGCACTGATCCCTGCGGAACCCCACAGGTTATGTTTAGTAAGTCTGATTTCTGGCCATCTAATTCTACAAATTGTTTCCTTTTTCCAATGTAACTCCTAATCCAGTTTAACCCTTTGCAGACGAGGTCTAAATGGCCATCCCGGCGTGCAGTCTCTCTTCTCTGTGCGTCAGCGCTCGCTATGAAGCCAGCTAGCAAAACTACTACTAACCCTGCACACACCACAAACTCTAACAAACACACTCAGAGTCTAAAAAACCCATCGAAACACTCTTAGTAAAATCCACAGCATCACTGTGCCCTAGTCTCTTGCCGGATCCAAACCCCCTCGTCTCTTTCCGCGTGTCTCCATTCTACCTAGCAACAGACCGTCAACACATTTTTATTGGTTGTTTCGAAATGTGGAACATTTAGACCCCACAAAATAAGGCGGAAATTATCAATCTTATTTCTGGCTTTATTTTGAAGTAAATGACCACAAAACCAATATAAAAACACCAGTTTTATAAAGTTTGAAGTCCGTGCTGTCCAACAGAGTCGAAATGAGAACTCGGTATGCCGTCCATTATTACGAAGCCTTATTAAAGCGCCACATGCTTGTACGCCACACGGCGGGCAGCGACTACATAGGTTAATGCCACCCCTCTAATTCCATATCTTTCCAGTTTTTTTAGTAATATGTTATGATCAATGGTATCAAAATCTTTTTTGAGATCCAGAAATACAGCAATTGCAAATTTCTTTTTATCCATATTGTCTATAATTTCTTCTGTTAACGCTATTAGTGCCATTGAAGTTGATCGGTTTTCTCTGAAACCATATTGACAATCAGTCAGAATGTTTTGCTTTTCAATGAAATTATCTAACCTTTTACTAAAAACTTTTTCTAGTATTTTTGAAAATTGACAAAGGAGAGACATAGGTCTATAATTGTTAATAATATGCGTATTGCCAGATTTAAATAGAGGAATAACCTTTGCAATTTTCATTGCATTTGGAAATGTTCCAGTTATGAATGACAGGTTGCAGATGTAAGTCAGATGGTCTGCAATATCATCGATTATCCTTTTTATAAGTGACATGTTAATTTCATTCCAGTCCATTGATTTTTTTTATTATTACAGTGATTAACTATTTCCTTAATTTTGATTTTGTCTACTGGTTTCAGGTACATAGATGAAGTATTTTGTTTTATACAAATTTCCAGTGTACCCATATCCAGTTGGTTTGATATATTTATTTGTTCTGCTAACTTAGGCCCTACATTTACAAAATATTCATTAAATCCATTTACTATCTCAACTGTTTCATTCAGGGTTTTGTCATTATAATTAATATAGTTAGGGTGAGTAGTATTAGAAGAATTCTTTCTTATCAAGCTTTGTAAAGTTTTCCAAATTCCTTTAATGTCTTGTTTATTGTTTTCTAATATTTTAGAATAATATTCTTTTTTTACATTTTTTCATAATAATAGTTAATTTATTTTTATAAGTTTTTTTATTTTTGCTCTACTTCCAACGTTTTATATTTTATAAATTGTTTATATAGATTATTCTTTTTCTTACATGCGTTGTGTAATCCTTTAGTAGTCCATGGTTTATATTTGGGGGTTTTTTGCCTGTAACTACAAGGTACATTTGGACAGTTTTTATTATAAAATGTTTTAAATATTTTGAGAAATATCTCAAAAGCTTTATCAATATTTTTTTCTTCATACAACCCTTTCCAGTTCTCTGCTTGTAAATCATTTCTTAATGCTCTTATTGAGTCTTCTGACATTATTCTTTTATATGTGATGTTGGTGCCCTCATTTATTTTTCTGGAAACCTCTTCTAGGATAACAAAGACTGGTAGATGGTCACTGATATCATTTATAATAAGTCCACTTAATTTATTTTCCATGTAATTAGTAAATATATTGTCAATCAGGGTTGAACTGTGTGTTATTCTACTTGGTTTAGTAATTAGTGGATATAAACCTAAACTATGCATAGTATCAATAAAGTTATCTGTACTTTTAACCTTGTTTGGATTCAACATGTCAATGTTAAAGTCTCCACAGATGAAAATGACCTTTTGATAAATCTTAGCAAACAATATTTCCATGTAATTTATAAAGACTTCAGTGTCAGATGCTGGTGCTCTGTACGCACAGCTAACTATAATATTTTTCTGCTTCTCAAACTCAATTTCAATAGTAATGCATTCCATTACATCACCAACTGACACTGACATTTTTTCTACTACCTTGTATTTTAGTTCATTATTTATGTACAAGGCTACACCTCCACCTATTTTTATTCTTTCTGCTTATATAATTGAACTCATACCCTCCCAACAGGAAGTCTGCTCCCTTCTCAGAGGTGAGCCAGGTTTCTGATATTGCTATGACACTGAAATTCAAATGCCGGGAAAAAAGCATGAAGACTGTTGATGGAGTGAGTCAAAACTTGTGCAGGTCATTTGGAAGAGAGCGTCACGAATAAATAATTCTGTTTTCCTCTATCTCTCTTAGCTATTTGCATGCTCGTTGTGAGGGTTCTTACATAAACCAGCCAGAGAGACGCTGAATGGAATCCAAAAATAATCTTAATTTATTACAAAAAAGTTCAAAAATAATTAAACAATGAAGAACAGGGCCCAAAAACTGAGGTCAACATAACAAACTCCAACTCAGGTAGTAACACAAAGAACTCAAGCACAAAACTGACCTAAAAAAAAAGACATGAGGGGAACTTAAATAGTGGCTGATCAGACCACTGCTGACACACGAGGGGTATTTAAACATACAAAAACTTAAACAAATACTAATCAATACAATACCAAATCTTTAAATTAAACAAACATTAGAATGAAAGTACCAAATAGAAGAAACATTAAAAAAATGGTCAAATTAAACTAAAGAAAACCAAATGTCCTCGTCCCCTGGCAAACAAATGGAATGACCCGCTGAGGAGGTTTGCCAGCCATATAAGGACGTCAAGTAGCTGGAGCTCTTCTGTGACCCTCCAGCAGCAGCTCTAAAGGAAACTGGCAACTCAAAACAAAGAAATTAATTTATTGCATTTAACAAAAAATATAAAGAACTGACAAATAAAGTTAACTAAATGTGTGCACTTCAAATAGTTAACTGAAAAGTCAGGCTAATGAAACTAATTTTCAAAAATAAAAATCTAAACTATTCACTAATTAATGTCTAAATTAATGTTAAGGATAAACAAAAGAAACGATCACCATTCAGGTCTGTGTGACAGTAGGGTCAGCTGTCACACTCGTACATACATACACATAGGTGGTTTTCACACACGTAAAGCTAAGGTTGAACGAAATGACACGCTGGGAACGCCGTCTCTAGGGCGTAGCTTAGATAGCGGCCAACAAAAGAAATTAGAAACTATTGCTAGGTTCCTCATCAAACACGTCTTTTGATGAAGAAAACACTGTTGAGTTTGCCTTATAACATTCACCTGCATCAAACACGTTGCCTCCCATCTGACTGATATTACCTTGTCTTATTATGGAGTGAACTGATTCAGCATATGCATGCTCATCAGTGCGCAATAATGTAAATGGGACTTTTAGATGGAAATCGCTTTAACACAGAAGGTTTATTTCTTTCAATCAAGTTATATTTTGAAATTAATATTGGTTTAGAACACGACTGAGCTGTGCTACTTGATTCGTATATTCGTAAATTAATAAATTAATGGGAAACCCTATATCAATTACAGCCACATTGGCTGAAGTTTGTCTAAACTGTTGGAAGAAGTTACATTTGTATTATGAATCAATTTATTTGGAAATGATTTCATGGATTGAAACATCTCCTTTACTAGAAAGTGTGAATAACTTAAGAGCTTTTCCTGGTTACCATAGCAATTGAACCTGTTACACTTCTACCTAACTGATGATGTCACTAGGATCCCAGGCTTTGTGTCATAGATTCTATGACATCAGCTCTGAACCCTTTGAATGTCTTGTTACTTGTGTTCTAAAGCCAGATGAGGACAATCCAACAAATTTATAGAGAATTTTAAATTTGAAACAGAGACATAAGATGGATACTCGTCGTATACCCAGGAGGGTTATCGCGTCGTTAAAAGAGATGAGAGTACAACCAAATGAAAAACTCAACAGGCCTATCACACTTAAAGATGAGGAGTGTAATATTAGCAGCTTTATTGCAAAGGTGACTGAAATTACAAAACATTTCAAACCTGACAGCACAACCAATACTGATTATAAGGTTGACTACAGTAAAATGTTCGCGGCAGACGGAACTGATCTTCAGACATGCATTGACCGGGATAATGAATTTCGAGAATTACAGGGGTTGATAGAAAGACACGAAGCTGGACTTTGCAAGTTACAGGAGAAGGAACAGAGACCTAGACCACAAAATGTTCACGCACGAGATGTGGAAAATTGGAAAGCCAAGCAGAAGAAACCTATACCAAAAACCTTGTTACAAATTGACAGACATGGAGTAAGACCTCTCAACTTGTCCACAGCTAAATCCAATGAGGTTTCTGGAAAAGACAAACATGACAAACAGTTTAAAAAGTCTTTGTCATGTAAAAAAGAACAGAAACTCAACAAACAGGTTACTGAAAATGCAGAGAAACAAGTCGTAATGCAAAGGCAAAAACACAAGAAAGTTAGTGAAGGCATTCGGTCACAATATGTACATGACGAGAGGGAGAAAAATGTTCCTGAAAAGGTTACATTTCAAGAGAAACGTAAGAAGATGGCCTATGATAATCTGCAGGATATAAGGAGACAAGAAGATGTCAAAGATGCTTTTGAGGAGAAAAATGTTCCTAAAAAGGTTACATTTCAAGAGAAATGTAATATTTTAATCTACCTCCCTTAGCTCTTTGCATGCAAGGTGACCATATTAGTAGACCATATTATGGTCTCTGACTGATTCGTGGGATTTCCAAATACAATTAAATAGCAACTGAAAATATAGCTTGATATTGTCTGTGATTTTCTTAGTAAAATTAATAATTCTAATTTAAATATAAGTTTTCTCCGGGTGCTCCGGTTTCTCTACAAACACAAATGACAGACAGATATTGTCTGTAATTTCGTCTATTGTTAAAATTAATTAAGCCTCAATTTTATATAAGTTCTCTCCAGATGCTCTGGTGTCTCTACAAACATAATACTACATAGGTTAGCTAGTGTTGAGAATGAGAATCTCAATCGATGAATCATAATTTGTATTGACACCTGGAGCATAAAATCAGCTTTCAGACTTTACTTATTTTATTAACTTTCAGCGCTGAAAG